ATTGTTTGCCAAGACAAAGCGGCGCGTAGCCACTGCGGATCAATGGCCTATTGAAAATTTGTTTACATTCGATCACGACGACCTGCGGACGATGTTTGCGAACAGGTGCATACGTATATTTCGGCTCTGCGCAGAAATAAAGGCTCCTTGATCGTGCAGCGTGTTGCGTTTGATTCTGGTGTGAGCTAGGACGACACCACTAGTGATGCGCACGAGACGAGATAAATCTCGATCTCGAATCGCATCTCATAATTTTGTTCATCTTTGATTCTGTGTAATAAATTTCACAGTTCATAAGAAATTCGTTAGAAAATTTTCAAGAACGTCATCCAAACCACCAGGTCGTAAAATTAAACGCGAAACGTTCTCATAGCATAGAAAATAATAATTTATTCAGCGTTTAGCGGAAATATAAACGTACAGTGTACTGCAGGAAAACATTTTTCACGAAACGAACGAGAACGTCAACTATCATAAACAGCAAACAGATTCTATTGCCTATAACAACCATCGGCAATGCACACCTCTCGTCGCGTTGTTACAAAACGGTAATAAGATTCATCGTGTCTAAAAAACGTATGCAGGCGTGAAATTGGTAAATTCGCTTAAATCTTTTACCAACGAAGTGCTCTTCATCCAAAAGAACCTAATGTGTACCGAAGGATCCATGCTTAAGTAACTCACATGGACATACAATGGATTCTTGATGCGTACTTTCGTACAATAATTTCTCGAATGCACATTTCAGTCCATTTATTCGTTTTGTTTTAAATTCGCATTTTATTATTATGCCATCAAAATAGTCGCTATCGTAGACTATCTTGTAAACCTCTGTTCTACATATGTGTTTTTTACAAGACGTAGAATTCAACGTATAATATACACTTGTCCATAGTTGTTACTTCTTAAATAAATATTCAAAAGCTCGGCATGCACGAGAAAACCTGCATATTTTGTTGAGACTAATGCAGTGAAATGTTTACTTTTTAAGGAATTAAGAAGGTAAATGCGTACTCATGTCTCGAATAACACATTTTCAATAATAAAATAAGCGTCGGGGATATATTAAACAATTTTGTGCGTTTGATAGTTGCGATGATACACGGATATGATGAACTGTGATAAAAGGAGAGGAATGGAAATGTTAGATGTAGAAATTAATTCTGTATCTTTACATTCGATCATCTATAACTCTAGATTAAAGAGAAATATTTATCTGTTGGTTTGTTGAGTTTTTCGCTTCATAATTTCGATAAGAGAGGAGTCTCAGATTCAAAAGGATACAGTTGTACGAATAAAATATCGAAGCAATAAAATTTGTTCGGTCTGGAGTTTTAAATTATAATATGTAAAGATACAAAAATAATTTTTACATCTAATATATATTCTAAAAATTCTAAAATTCGTAATGGAATATCTGGAAAGTAATGAATATTTCTTTTTTTAAAGAACCAGCTGTTTTCATAAGTCATGCACCCGTTCAAACGTCGAAATTAATAAATATCAACGCGGAGAAAAATATTCTACTATAACTCAAGTGTGTGAATGTTGTAAAGAGTTTATAAAGAGTGAACATTTACTTGTTCAATAATCATGTTTATTAAACCTCACAAAACATATATAAACACTGCACAATGCTCAATCAAAATTTGCAGCCATCGGTGCACCTAAATAGACTTAAAAATCATGATACAGTTGATAACTAACTCATAAAAAATCTATATTAAAAAATTCCAGTTGATTAATCAGGTAAAATATCCATTAATTAATCATTGAACGTGCAAGCAAGCGTTTGCGTTCAACGAGAACTTCTTAATCCAATTGCACTGAATAGTTTCCAAATTCATAAGCCCGGAGTCGTCGAACGATTTTCAAGAGTTGACTGAATCGATACATAAAACGTACGTACATAAACAAAAATGGATAAACAATTGTTCTCGGCGAAAATTCCATCGATACAACGGACGTTTCTTCACGATCGACACAATTTCTGTAACGTTACGACGGAAAGAATCCACTGTATCGCGGGTTTATTGCTTTTCCAACTTGCGGTTCGAAGTGCGCGGCTACACGCGACTTCTAAACGCGATATAATCTCGCAGAAAATCACACTTCCAGTGCTCCACGCTACCTATCTATGTAAATTAACGATATAAAAGATCGCACAACGAACGGGGTCGGGGAGATAAATCGCATCGCGTTTTACAGAATAATTACCGCGTAATAATACTCACATTCATCTTGTACAAGTACATATACATGTGTATCTCTATAAATATATATATGGATGGTTCCATTCGTCTTCACCCCAAGACGTACACGTCGAGCAAAAGTGAAAGAAATCGATATAGACGCTTCCTTTTTACCAAAATCTGGAAAAAGTTTTGAACTTGTTCAGGAACGAATGATATTGATGAAAACTAATAAGAATTCAAAATTATATTGGCCTATTATGTCGGTCAATTTTGCTGATTTATATTACTGGGGAATTTAATTGTGAATATTTATTCCATCGATATAATGATTAAAATAGCTCACAAACTAGAAGTGCATGCGTGCAGGTATCCTTGAATGAACTATTCAATGAACCTTTAGCCATGGACTCCAGTTTGTTAAAAAGTGGGTTGATCATATTCATCGAAATTAAAAATTCTAGCACAGTTTCATTTTACATGTACTAGATTTAAAATTATTTCCTTCGATGAAATTATTGTAAACACAAGTGTTATAAACAGGTTTTGTTTAAAAACTATGTCTATCATTTTATTAAAATAGGAAAATAATAAGAAAATAAGTCGACATCTTCAACTTCCACTCGACACACACGTTCAACACGAACACGAATGAACGCAACCGTGAGTATATAATAATACTAAGTCGTAAGAAGCATTTCATTTACGTATCCTAGGTATCAACGACGCGTTACTCTCATCATTTATCATTAACTTCCTCCTACATCGTACAAAGTAATGCACTCGCTCCAATGAGCGTATGATAAATTATCATACTTACAATAAATCAACATTGCATAATTATATCGCGTTAAGTCTCATTTGGCTGACGAATTGCACGCTTTCAAAGGAAACCGCTATATCACCTACCGCGTGTCGGTGTTCGAAAAAGTACTGTCATTTCGACGTTTGCACGGTGCCATTATTTTATTCTTTTTTTTCCTTTCTTGCGTGAAAATTTCTTATCGGACATTTTAGTAGTATAAAAATATTGTCATTGAGTTGATTTCTTGCATAAGCTTGCATTAAGTTATTACGTGAATAACGAGTAAAATATTTCACGACTATCATTGTACGAATAATTTGTTCCCAAAATCACCTTTCATGGATAGATCAAAAACTGTTGGGGTTTACTGCAAAAATACTTATAGCTGAAAGTAAAGATAAGGAAATTTTATGTCAAGATTCTTCGATTTCCACGTAACAATACCTGAAAACTTCAAAGTTTAGTTTCTAAGGATTCTAAATGAATGTCCCATGTACCTATTCTGTAAGAATGAATTACATATTAGAAATACCATTAATCTAATCGGAAACTTATGTTCTACGTTGATAAAATTTAGTTTCCAGTGACAGCGAAGGTGTAACAGACCGAACAACTTAACAGATTTTGATGTCTACATTTTCCATCAAAATATTTCCCCCTTTTCAAACGGCGTTGCTGTACATCGAATCATTTCCAGGTGATTCAGTGAGTAAATAACAGTGATTAAAATAATAATTTTACAGTAAGTAAAACTATGCATGATTCAGCTTATTTCTTTTGTTTCGAGATATCCGACTTGGATTAATTTCAACAAAACAGATATCAAGTCATTATTTATCTGATCTAGAAATCAATTTTTAATACGAGGTATGGTGCAAAAATAATGAAAATTTTAATAATCAAGCTTCTAATAATCAAATTCCCCTATATCTAAAGAATAAAATAAATTGTCGATTTAAAATTGCCAACGTTAAAATTGAATTTTTAAGAAAAAATTATGTGAATTATGCGTGTCATCAGAACATTGCTTACAATTTCCCAAGGCTCAACTTCATTCTCCTTGACTTGAAGAATTTTAAATGTCCCATTGGCATATTTCAAAATTCCAGATTTTCGATGCAAATATTATTTCACACATTGTAAAAACTGCGATAAACATTGTGAATAAATTCCAAGGCTCAAATGTTGGAATACCAATACTTAATGCAAGGCATCGCATCTCGTCCAATGGGACATCCGTCCGTGGATGCCAAAATGGAAGTACTTTTTAGGACACTGACTACTAAATGCGTATTAAATCGATCTGCTGAACACGTATACATAACACAACAGCGCAACAAGTATATTATTCCACCGCTACTCTGCCACGTAAATTACTTCCAGTTTACGTTTATAATTACACAATATGCACAGGGCAATAGGGTATACACACGAGAATCCTGCGATACGCTATGACGCCAAAAAACAACGCTCACATATAAAGTCGCGCAAGGAAGGTATGCGACAATAACAGAGCTAAAAGCTGTTCGCCGTTTTGTTCAACGTAAACGACTAACGAATACGTTCAGCGGAGAACGGAAACTAACGAAGCTAAAGGCAGCTTAACGAAAGAACAGATTTACAGCGCTCGAGAGATATATGTATATGTAGATCTATCGATCGACTTCTGCAATATTTTTTAACAGATTTGTTAAAACGTTATCGTCCCCCCAGCGTGTTTGTTATGCTGTGTTTGTGTGAATAAATGTTTGAGTCGATTTAAAATTGATTTCTATATAACTGCACTGTCAATTGTATGATGAGATGAGTTTGAAAAAGATGGAAGAGGTTGAAAGAACAAATTTTGAAATAGAGTATCGTTTGTTTTATGGAATCTAGAGTAAACACAAAATACTAAGGTTTATACCATTATTCTACCTATTTAATGTTGAAAAATTATTAATTAATTGTATATTAATTTTAATTCTTATTTTAATTTCATCTCCATCGTCAATATCACAATTTAAAACTAAATTTAATTTTAAACGATGTATCTAAAATTGAGAATTATATATTGAGAGAAATTTGTATAATGTCGCTGTTTATAATAAGTTTGGAATATTAAGCTATGATATTTATTAATTAAAAATACACAGTTGATAAAGTATTTATCCACTCCAAACATGTTACATATTTTATGTATTTGAACAATTTCGAACCTGAATTGAAATTAGAAGAGTAGTAGACAGCTTTATTCGATTCCCTAATCGTTTGGAATAAAAATTCAATTTCGTGTTCAACCGTGTCCAAAAATCCTCCCCCATTGGGAATGCTACGTTTCCCCAGGGTATACCGTCCCCAAACGAAAAGCCACATATTCTGTTCCTTTCTGTTTTCGCTCCGCTCATTCTCGTCGAGGGTGCAGTAAATCCAACAGAGCCCCATTATCCGAAAATACGTAAAACAAGTCAGACAAAATGACGCAAGAAATTACGCTTGGAAGCTCCGTGGAAACGTACGGGGCCGGCGCTGGGCTAAATCGAATAAATCCGAACCAAAGACGGTCGGTCTGGTCGTAGCTAATGCACTTGACCGAAAAATCTGTTTGCCTGTCGTAACTCTGGTAACTCCAAATCCTACCGGTAAACCGGAAAATCTACTTGCGGCGATCCTACCCGTCGTTGTTGCTCTAAAACGTGTATCGCAAATGGTTTGCCAAAATGTACCGCGAGCTATTTCCCTCCAGAAGAGGACAAACCGTCTGGAAACCACAGCCGAGCAAATTTTATTTCGAACAAAATCTCCGCTGGAAACGTGCGATTGCTTTCAGTGTGATGATCAAACGACTGTGCTTCATTTACTGACTTGTGCTATTATAGAACACGAGTATTGTTTAATTTTCTACGTACAGTGTAGAAATAATTAATTTTCTTTGAGAGCTGGCCGCCATGATTGTTTCACCGTACGGCGAGTACGGTAAATGAATTTCTATTTGATCACTGCGAAATATTTGATTCTACAATTCAATGTCTAATCTTTCATCGTCTTCATCTCAGTAAATGAATATTTACTTTACACGTATAATATCGTAAACTTTGTAAATTAAATCTGTTAAATAAATGGAAGGAATTAAGAGACGTATACTTTTCGATTTTTTCTGGAGTCCTGTCTTGGACAAACGACTTTGAGTGACAGTAATGAATTATTGTCCTGATACCTTTCTTCAAGGCCGTGCCTTTTTTGTATCTTTTTGTACAAGCAGTTCGTGACATTAATTTTGTGCTGAGTAACGCTTTGGACCAACGGTTTCTCTTAATTTTATTGTCCTTTAACACGTTCATTGTCCACTGAACCACATGTAGGTCAGAAGAGTTCTCATTCAGGAATCCCTGACCTACATACAGCTACTCGCAAAAGATATCCATTCACCCCATACACATTTAAGTATTTAATCAATCTTAAAGTTGGAACAACCAATTCTTATTCAACTTCGTAGGAATAGTGAACGTGTTAATATTGATGATTTTATTTCTTTTTTTTTTTAAATTTTTGCGATTGAAAAAATGAAGTTTAATTTAAATATTAAGTTAAAAAGAGATGCTTTCGTGTCGTTTGCATAAAAATTGAGTAATAAAGTCGCAAAGCGCTGCAGAATCTGTTTTTCTGTTAAGGTTCAAAACAAACACTGGAAAAAGTAATGGCTGCTGCGACGCTAAGAAGTGTCGCAACAAAATCTCGTCGAGATTCGAGGAAACGACGACGACGGCAACATGTAGAAACTACGATTTAACTATACAGTACAATAAAATACGAGGCGTGGGGTATCTGGTTTTGGAACGAAACGATTAATACCTGAACAGTCCTCGCGATCAGCTGAGGCGTGTATCTGCGAAAAGAAATGAAATCAATCGTTTTTACGTATAGTAATCGTAATTCAAATTTTCATTTTCAAAACTTTGTGCATTAATTGTTATTTGTAACCAAAATTTTCTTTATTTACATTTAGAGAAAACAAACATGATAAATAATTATTGATTTTCTATTATGAATTACGATAATTCTATTACGAATTATTAAAAAAAAATTGTAACCAGTAAATAACGAGCAAATGTATGATTTTATATAACTTATTCAGATACTTCATATAAGTGATGCCATTTAAACTATCCAGTAATGAGTAATTCCTCATTTAAATAATACCCATCTCTGCTAAGCTGTGATTCATCTCTAATTATATATTTCTCTTGTTATTTAAATCTTCCAGTGATAAATAATTCCCTATTTAAATACTCCTTTAAACAAGAGCTCATTCAAACAATGCCCAACCCAGCTAAACCTCCATCCATCTGTAATTACATACACCACTAACCTGAGCAGCAATTTCTCGTTTTTCCAAAGAACACAAGTCAGCATCCAATTCCTCCGGCTTGATAGCCTCGGAATCCACTTTATCGTCGAAGAAGGTTCCTTCCGTTGTCGGTCTGCCGGGAGCCTTTCTCTTTCCCGCAGACTTCGCATACCGATTCGTGCCATTCCCTACGGAACCATCCTCAGTGGGTCTTTTCGTACCGATCACAGTGTATCCGACTTGAAATTTCACTGACTTCTTCCTTTTAACCTTACCGGCTTGCGTGCTCGAATCGTCGCGCTCGGAAGCCTTCTGCCCTGAACCACTCGTCGGTTTCTCCTCCACGCCACCCTCCTCCGTTATCTTTGCATCGTTCGATCGACTCGAATCAACTCCATCGATTTCAGGTTTCTCAACGATCGGGGAACGCTTGATCTCCGTTCTCAGCGCACTCAATCTCTCGGCGCTTCTGTCTACGACTGACGTTTGGAAATTGTCCCTCCGCGAGTCGAAGGACCTAGCCTCGATGGCCTTGGCCTCCAGTCCCCTGCGGATGCTGAACACCGACTGGTGTCCCGATATCCTGTCCGCGTCTACTCTATCTCTATCGTTGGTTCTCGAATCCTTGTCGGTCGTCGTCTCGCTTCGAATCTCGTAGTACTTAACGAAGCTCCTAACTCTACCCGGGGTTATCGTTACAGTGTCGCGGGATTGGTCGTCACTTACAGCTACGGGTGTTACGGCCCTGTTATTGTCATTATTATTACAATGGGGTCGAGGAATTCTCCTAGCTATGGCACTTTTGTCGCCGCTACCCGTCCTCCTCCTTAAATCTAACTGTCGCTCGATCGCGCCACGATTATCCGCCTTGACGTTCTCCCCGTAGCCACGATCATCGAGCTCGTCCTCGCAAACTCTTGCGTCAGTCTTTTCATCGCAGCCCACCATCTGCAGAGATTCGACAGACCGTTCGACGAATCCATCGCTCCTCTCGAGGGACGCGTTGCCCTTGCCCTTGCTGCTTGGTTCGACGCGCAACTCAGGTACGCTCATCGATAACTCTGAGCGATCCTCGTTCGTGGGTCCCTCGGATCTGTGTACGTCCACCTTCACGACCTCTTCGGTGCCGGTGTTCTTCGTCCTGTAATTCCTTGGGTAGTCCACTCGATCACTTCTGCTTGCTGCATTTCTTGAATAGCCGCTGTTTCGTCGTTCTTCGTGTTTCTCAGGCAATTCGGAGCTTTTGTCGAATTCTAGTCCACGATTGCTTGAAGGCTGTGCGAGGATTTGGTTATCATTTGCTTCACTTACGGAAGAAAGGGTGCTAGTTTTTTGTTTTAGATTCGTGTTCCTGTCGTTCCCTCCCTCGTCGTGCAAATTACTCTTACTTGAACTTTCCATGTTACTGTCTGACATAGATTCTATTTTTTCTGTGTCGTCAGTTACCTGCGAAAGGCTTTTAGAATAGACTTGCCTTCCACTGTTGACTGGTTTCAATTTGATGTTACTGAAATTAGAGAGCAATTCGTTTAACACGTTGCATTTCGCCTCTCCAGCGTTGTTCCTGTTAGGTTGGATGATCACTGTTGACCTCGGCTTCGGAACTGGAGGATTCATTTTCTTCGATGCTTCATTGGAGTCCTGTAAAATCTTTTGAATATCCGTGTCCATTCGTATTGCCTCGTTCAGCCTATCTGCGAGCTTATCTTCGTCTCTCTTGACTGGGATTGATTCTTGGTGAGTCGTAGATAATTTTGGAAAAGCACCGACGACCTTGCATCCTGTCGAAGCATTCCAGACTTCGTTCGATTCTTCGGAAAGCATATTTTCTAAAAAGGAGTTTCGTCGAACGTTAACTGGCACACTAACGTTTTCCTTGAAAATTTCTTGAGGTGCATAATTATTTTGGGAAAACGCATCTTCGACTCTATCCAAAGACATGTTAAAAATATCTGGACTACTATCTTCCACTACGGAAGCTTGAATTTCTTCTTCAGGATCGGTTGACGAGGAATCGTTATAAGTTAGGATATTTCGAAGCGATTCTTCCACAAACAGTTTCCGTTTGTACTCCTGACTGTTCTTTTTAGGTGAGTCGATTACTATTGCCTGTTTCCGATTACCTTCCAGCCTTCCTTGGACCAATGACACTCTTTCATCGATATCAATCCCTAATTCATTCGATACTAAATGTTCCTTCGCAACCTTGTCCTCTGCCACGTTTGTTATCGACTTTCGACGAAAGACTTCATCCTTCCTTTCATTTATTGTCGATTTTTGTTCACAGACCATTCCTTCATTTTCAAGGTTAGCGTTTTCTGCGTTCACCATTAGCTTCTGTTGAGTATCATTTACAATTTCATCTGTACTTCGGAAAGTGGTTTCTTTGTTCACCTCGATATTGTTATTTTCGTTCTCGCAGAAATCGTCTGGCAAATCCTCCACGACTTGACACTCTTCAGCGTGAGCGATACAATCCTGTAAAGTGGTCTGTGCCAAATTTTTACTTTCTGTCATCTCTTTCGAGCCATCATTAGTCTTATCTGATACAGAAATGCATTCCACCTTCGATACTGATAAATTCCTATCTGTTTCCAGTCTGTCAACGGCCACAGCAGAATCAAACGATTCGTTATGCGACTCTAGAGAAGTGGAGTAACGAAAGGTCTCGCTTAGATCAGCACGCACAGCGTCACTTTTAATAAATGATCCTTGATCAGGTGGATTAATGGAAGATCGTTCAATGGCGTTGTCCTTATTGTTTAAAACTGGAGAATCCACTTCATCCACGGTTTCTAGCATATCAACCGCCGATGTAGAATGGAAAGATTCGTTCTGTGATTCTAGAGAAGATGAAGAACGAAAAGAATCGCACAAATTAGCACGAGTATTGTCACTTTTCATTAATGGTCCTCGGTTAGCTAGCTTGACAGAAGACAACACGCTTTTCAACGAAGGCCAATCAAGGGTGTCGTGTTGGTTCTCCAGGGCGAAAGAATTTTTATCATTTATAGGTTTCAATTGGTCAACCTCTGATGCAGAATGGATCTTGTTCAAATTAACAGGAGTATCGACATTCGATCCTCGATTAGCTAGATTGATGGAAGCTAACACGCTCTTCAACGAGGGCCAGTCGAGAGTGTCGCTTTGATTCTTTGAACCTGAAGAATTTGAAGAATCTGCGTCGTTTACTGATTTATTTTGGGACTCCAACGAGGTGGAGCTAGGAACGGAGTCGTTTAGGTCAACACGAGCATCCTCAGATTTGACAAACGATCCCGTATTAGCGAGATTGGCGGAAGACAACATACTTATCAACGAAGGCCAGTCATGAATTTCGGTGTAATTCTTCCAACCCGAAGAACCTACTTCGTTCTGCGAGGTGGAACAAGAAACATCGTTTATATTAACACGACCGCCATCGCGTTTGTTAAACGATCCTCTACTGAGAGAAGACAATACATTCTTCAACGAGGGCCAATCAAGAGTATCATTTTGATTTTTCAACCCCGAAGAATCTGATTTATTCACTGATTCGTTCTGCGAGGTGGAGCAAGGTGAATCGTTTAGGTCGACACAAGCAGCGTCGCGGTTCTTAAACGATCCTTTATCAGCAAGATTGGAGGAAGACAACACGCTTATCAACGAAGGCCAGTCGAGAGTATCATTTTGATTCTTCAACCCCGGAGAACCTGCTTTATTCACCGATTCATTCTGGGAGATGGAGCAAGGACTGGGATCAACACAACCATCTCGTTTGATGAACGATCGCCTATTACCAAGGTTAACGTTAGTCAACACGCTCTTCAACGAAGGCCAGTCGAGGGCATCGTTGCGATTCTTCAAGTTCGAGTTAAAGGGTGCGTCCTCAAACTCATCATTCTGCGAAATCTGTTTGTTGCTCACCTCCACTTCTTCGGTGACTTCCGTCAACTGCACGGAAGAGGTGCAAACGTAACCTTCCTCGTCGTCAACGATGGGTTCGATATTTTGCAAACTGTCACACGTGGCGTCGCCATCTTCGCTCAGTTCGTAATCCGGAGTGGAGGAGCTCGGGGACTCGATGACGAATCTCACCTTTGTCAAACGGGGAACCGCGGGTTCTTCCTCGAAGCTCTCGTAACACATCGGGCCAGCCGATCGTCGAGCGTTGGTCTTGTTGCTTCTGTCTATATAATCGTCGAAGATGAAGCGACTGGACTCGTCGAACTTCTCGATGAACTGGCCTGTGTAGGTGGCGTTCCACCTGTCCAGGCACTTCTCGAACGGAAGGTTCGTAGTGGTGACACGGAAGCATAGATCGTTCTCTTCGTCGTCCAAGGAATGTTCAAAGGACTCGTGAATGGAACTGACGAACTCGACGGAGGTTGTAGTCCTCGGCTCGTCCTCGTTTTGCAGCGTGTTGGACATTACGTTTTGAAAGTCCTGAAGAGTGAAGAGCAGAGGTGGGTACTTGTTGGTCTCCATTCGTGGCACATTGGCGAACAGAGGGTACGGGCGATCGTTTGAAGAGTTCGTAGAGTTGCTTGGATCATAATTGTCGTTCTTGTCAGTGGAACTATTGCTCGTTTCCTTCGTTGGTATCAAATCGGTGTCTTCGAACTGAAGGGACGTCGGCTGGGATGTTCCCTCCGTCTCGCTAAAATTTAGACTATTCGAGGTTTCTTCGAGGTCTTCGGTTGATCTGGTGTTGGAAATCGTTTCCTCGTGGTGATCTTTAGTTGCGTGGTACTTGATTCTGCGGGCCGCCCGGGGCGGTGGCGGCGGCGGTGGTAAACGCTTTCTGTCTTGCTTGCCGGGACCCCTGTCCTGGTTGCTTGTCGGTGACGTCCCTTGCGGAGGTTTTACTGTCGCTGGAAACTTAGCTTTGCGTTTTTTGCGTCTCGGCGGGACCGGCGGTCTGTTTGCAGATTCTGCGCCTGAAACAACCATGGGTCGAACGTTGGTTTGCATGGTACTGGGGAGTGTCTGATAATCTTTGCTTAGGAGCGGAGGGTACACTCTTAGCGGGCTAAGGATCGAACTCCTTCACGACGAGCACTGAGTGTACATACGTGGATTAAATGCACGATATAATTTAAGTGTGTCGAGTTTGACAACTGCAACTCCGTAGTTTAATAACTAGTGATTGTTGTATGGTACTGGGGAGTATCTGAGAATTTTTATTTGGGACTAATGGATACACTCTCAAATCAAAGTTTGAACTCCTTCACAATGAGCACTGATTGAATTAAACACTCGACATAAATTAAGTATACCGAATTTGATAACTGTAATTCCGTAGTTTGATAACTACTTGTTATTTATCCCGATAGTTCGTAATATCGAACGTTGGTTTGGGTGGTACCGAAGAATATTAGAGATTCTTTAGTTAGGACCAATGGATACACTGTTAACTTATCAAGTCCGAGTTTGAACTCCTTCATAGTGAGCACTAAGTGTACAGATGATTAAGCACTTTAATTTAAAAACTACGTAATTGTTGATTGGAAATTCGTTGTTACTTATGTTGATATTTTAGAATATTTACATTTGTGCATATCGCAGAATGGTAGGTCACGGTTCGCGGTTGGATTTAGGTATCGTGATGCGGAAACGCGTGACTGACCACGGCGTTAGACCGTCCGAGGGATACTAAAGGTGATTCTCTACAAATGACAGACGATCCGCCACCCCTCGCTAGTTCTTTCTCTTTCTAACGCGCGGTCAATAGCAGTGATTCACTAATGCTGCAAGTTTAAATTTCCTATTGAATGAAGGAAGACCCTGACAGGGTGTCTAGACAAATTCTAAAATCAATGACGATTCCGAAGGTGACGCGCGGTGCTAGGGTTCTCTTCGAACACGTAAATTCACCAAAATAGCCATACGAGAAATTATTAAAATAACTATAAAAGGAACTTATAAAAATATTATTCTTGCTGATATTAATACTTTACACATGGCTCGCGGTGGATTTGAAATTTAAAGAATTGTTTCTAGAAATCGAATTAAAAGCATTCTTTCAATTTTCTAGAGAAGAAGATTAATGTGCGCGTTGGTGATTGACAGAGTATCGGAATCTAATGTCGATTATTGTTCACACTACGCGCGGAGACGTTTTCCAAGATCGTATTGAAATATTTCCGGTTCGGTTAAAGGACAAGCTTGATGTGACCGTACGTATTAGATAGGCGAGTGCAAAGAGTCACAAATGGTGCCGCCTCGAACTCTGAGCAAGGCTTCGTCCGCTAAGTGGATAAAAACAATTCGATTAGGTTACGTAGGCGGTGTAGCTACGTCCGACATAATCGACATAACAGCGTTAATGGTATTTTCGACGGGATTTTACACGAACGGACCTACCATCCCAAACGGTGGACCGAAATTAAGAGGATCAGGGAATAGCCATCAACGTAAGTGGAATTAATAAGATCCATTTACATATTAAACACGTAACGATGCATTTAAAAAATAAAATACGTATGTTTAATTATAAATCAACACAAAATAAAAGAACTACAACGTTCGAAACGTAGAAATATATACACACGCTTGATGCGACTTCTCATGCATCTTTTTTTCTTTATTAAATTATGAATTCGTTTTTCAAAAATTCAATTAAAATTATAGTGTACGTAAGTATCGACGGAATTAGTTACTGACCTGCGATTAAATAAAGACTTGGCGGCTGGTTCTGCTGACGTCGAAGTCCTCTATATTCAGCAACATACTAGCGGACTTGAGACCACCTGCATCGACGAGATCGCTCATGTAGAGGCTGTTTGCATTGTGATTACCCATTGCACTCGATGCAGCACTGCTGTACGCGCTCGAGGTGTTTTGCACCGATGCGCCGTCGGTGGTCCTTTGAACGAGCCATTTGTTTGTCACACTCGACGTATCCGCTTCCGAGTTCACATCGAATCTGATGTCGCTGAAATCAATACAAACAGATCGTTAACCCGCGATGAAAAGATCAGCCGTTACATGCTAACGAACGACCGATGTCCGATCGCAGAGCGGATTTGCTGAACTATTTGTGCTATATCTCGCTCACAAAGGTCTCGAATTTAGACGAAAAAAATAATTAAAAATCGGCTATGCTCTTGTAATCAGTTCATGGTTTGGTAATGCTAATAGTTTGGACGCAAGGTGCAATACCATTGCGTTTCGTTCTGAATTTGCTAGTTGGACTCATTAGTAACGTTTATCTAGCAGATCTTGCATTTGACGTGACGCTATTAATCGTTTGAAATCGATCTGCTCAAACTAATTACGTACAATAAATTAACGCGTAATTGGGAACTGTTCGAATGATTAATATCGTCGCGTCAAAGGGAGGTCTGCTTGATGAGTTTAAGCGATGATTTTCATTAGGTAATTTAGCCCAAAACAGAGTAATATTTATTTTACGTGAATGATATTATTTTGTACATAAAAAGGAGTGTTATTATATCTGAGTTATTAGGATTACATACAAGTAGAATACAGAAGAAAAATCCAAGACCTTCAAAATGATATATCACTCATATAAATAAATTCCAATCCATGAAACAAGTAGAGCAAAGGTAGTTTCACGAAGTTTCACCGAAATCGGTTGAGAACTCTCATAATTATGAACATTTAAAATAGTGCTCCGCTAATTTTGTCCAGTATTTTAGCTAGCATTCACTGTTTTAAAAGTTCTTCAATTAAAAAATCATTACAACATGATTATCCCACCAAGGAACTTTCATACTCACTTCAGGTAATTGTTTTCCGCCACGGTGTGTTCATGTTTCTGCCTGGAGATCGCGTTTTTGCGCGAGGTGGGTTGCGAGAGGACCAGCTCGATCGTGTCCGACGAGCTCTGCAGCATCTTCAGAGCGTCCTCGTATCGCAGGTGTAACAAATTCTGCCCGTTTATCGCCACGATACGATCGCCTGACGCAAATAAATTTCATCGAATTAATGCAGGCTCGGTGAAAAATGATACTCGAAGCATACCTTTGTTCACGTTTCCAGCCATATCGGCCGATCCTCCAACCGACACCGCTTGAACGTAAACGCCACCGTTGTTACCCTCTGTCACTTGTAACCCTATGCTACCCCCGTGACCCCTTTCCAACTTAATCGTCTGCAGGATTCGCTCCTCTGCGAAGGACAACTCCTCGAGCCGCGCTGCTAAGGAGACAGACATCGACTCGTCCTCGGTAACGTGGAACGTCTCGTCGTCGGTACGGATATCAGCGTCTGTTTAGTGAGAAAATTATTCATGCTTTCTAATTTTATGTGGAAATTATATGGTTCAATTGAAATTTTATTGCATGCGTCCTTTGGGTATATTTAATTAACAAAATGATCAGCGTTATTGTTAGCCAAGAATGCAAGCTTCAAGAAAATAAATCTTACATCAATTTTTGAGGAGTACGAATTAATCGATACAAGAACATAAACAATTGTTATTTCCACACGGAATGTTAAATATAGTACAACACCAAAAATGTAATGAAATTAACGGTTGTGTGTATTAAAGTGTTGGCTATTGGAAAAGTTTGAAACAAAATTATTACTAACTGAGCACGTATGCTTCGGGCAAAGGAGATTCCGTAGACCGTCCTGATAACGACTGAATCGACGACTCAGTGTCCGATTTTAGCGATAGGGATTCCATGTCGTCGGTAAGGGCGGTATCTTTTTGCGCCAGGCTGCTGTAGATGGCTCGCGTACCCATTTTCACCCCCAGTCGCCGTGGTAAACTTGGCGTACGATAACCACTCGTTTGTCTGGATGTTCCATAGTTCGGTAAGCTCGAGGTCTTCATCTGCATGATGTGCGAAATGATTACAATTTTAGTTTCAAGTCTCGAGTCAATTTTCTCGCGTTAAAAAACTATACGGTGTCTATGTTACAGAATCATTCGAACAAAGAATATTTCACAGAGCATTCCTCTCAAAAGCTGATGGTAACGAAGGGGTTGAAAGTACCACTAAACAGTTAGGATCTTTAAATTTAAAGGAAATTTATTGTTTCTGTTTATAAAGTATACATAAAATAAAACACGATTGTAAACGTGAACGTAAAATAAATAAAACATTCATTTTAAAATCCAAATAGCCAAGAAAAAATATAAGTGTTGAGTAAATATACTATAAGATAAAGTGTGTTCTTTTAGTAAGAAAATAAGCATCATTATGGAACTCAAGTGTCAGATAAATAGACTTCAATTTAAAATCGTAGCCCAACCCTTCATTTCGTCATTTCCCTTAAAAAATCTTTTCTCGAACTTCTTTTATATATACAGAAAAATACTGATAAACGCTTGCTCACCTTGTGTAGCGACTTCTTCACGTCTGTCACGTCCCATACCTCCTCAGGAACCGGAAACTCCATTTTCCTGGAGATCCCAACCTTGTTGATCGCCGCGTACAGCTCCTCGGGATTCTCAGGCTTCTCCAGCGGATCCGAGTCGTTCGACGAAATAATTTTGGGAAGGGAATAACCACACTCCGTCGATTCCGTTCCCAACTCGATCCGCGGACAATTGTAAACTTTCCCGTTACTTTTCATTCCCTTCGCGTCCAACGAAAGAGGTTCGTTGGGGGTCGTTAAGCTTCTCTCGGACTCGTCCTCCGTGTCACGGGACTCCCCCTCGGGCTCCAATCGAACGTTCACTTGAGCGTAAAGCGCGTCTTCTTCAAAGTTGTATGGTCCAGGCTCGCGAATGGCGTCTTTCGTTTTCGAAACTGCGTTCGCCTCCTTCTGGGGATTCTCGTTTTCTTTGTTCTGGTATTCCTCGAGCTGCAACGGGTAACTTGGCCTCGGCTGAGTGTTCTTCACGGTGTTCGCTATGGCTATTTTCGTTTTGCTGTCGTGAGACTTTGTCTTCGACGGCGACGATTTCGTTTCCACCGTCGTGGGAACCCCGAACTCTGCAAACCATTGGTTACCTCGTATTCTGAACTCTGGCGTTTGGAAAGAGATATCTTTCTCAACCCTTTACGCTCTAGCAACTTTCTAAACCTAATATGAAATGATTTATATACGCGGATTAATAAAAACATTGTATTTTGATATTTTATGGACCTCCGTGTTTTGGAAACATAATTTAAGTCGCTACATTTTTAAGCACTTCATTTTAATATTAGGTTCTGTCTTCATCATTCAAGTGACCTCGTTTCATGACAGTGTAAAATCATATTTATTCTTATTGAAATTGATTTCAGAACGAAAACATAGGTTTACAAAACTTTCGAAATAATAAAGACTCCAGAAAACAACCTTCTGACACCACTGTCAAATCTATACGAGTCACTTGAAATTTTAATTTTAATTTCAATATCAATTTTAATATTGCTTCCTGCTGCTTTCTTCTACATCTCATCGAGTTCGCCGTCGAGCGAAGTCATAATTTTTTAATCGCTTATTCGCGCGTGAAAGTTAAGGCGTACCTTTCGCAAGCCCCTGCAACGAAGTAAGCTCCGAACGCAGCCTCAGGAAGAACTGATGGTGCAAAGAGGTGAGCTTGAAAGCAAAGTAACTTCTGGAAAAGAAAAATACTCTCTTAAACTATCTGCCTGTGCGACGCCCGACTCCACGCATTAAATCCTCTTTCAAATCCCATTCAGACGCCGAAACTTAAAGTGTTTTTCGACCGTTTGCTATTCTCCTTCGCGTTCAACTAAATCAAATATGTTTTCGTTTAACAGTCCTTGATTGAATTAACTTGCTAGATATTCAAGACAATTCTAGGTGTTACTTAAGCGAATCGATAGAAAAGACTAGAGGTAACTAGAGGTTTATATTGAAACTGAATGTATAGTGAATTGCGTGTAGATTGTATACGTTTTCTAAAAATGCCTTTATGCCTAAAAATGTCCTTCTTTTTTCAATTTCATTGACACACTTGCTTCATTATATCTATTTATATAACTGTTCAATAATAGCAAGAAGTAATATTTAAAGAGCTTTCCTCAACAAAAAAAAACTAAAATACCAAATCACCCAATTCATAGGGCTCCGAACTAAACGCTTTAAGCATATCTATCTGTAACAGCCTCCACTCCAATAGACCTTGATCACTTCAAGTTTCAAGCTCCCTAGCCAAATGATTAAATAATGATAATGATTTTAAATTAAACGAAAACTTACTTTCGATGATCCATTCGAAGCTTGAACTTGCACCGTTTCCCGTTCACCTTGCTGTAAACGACCAAAC